TCTATAACTGGTCAGTGGTAATCTGCATTGCGCAGTATAAATCATTATACAGCGCAATGGAGAATACCACCAGCTATAGAGGACTACAAATCCCAGCAATAATACATTATATACAGCGCAATGCAGAGTAACGCCAGCTACAGAGGACTACAAATCCCAGCAATAGTACATTATAGTATAATGTACTATTGCTACATTCCTCTATAGCTGCTGGTATTCTGCACTGCGCCGCTGTATAATGTACTATATTGCACACCACACTTTTTTTTTACTTCCACCGCGCCAAGCTTGCTCCCGTGATGGACTACAATCTTAACACAAACTAGTCGTCAATCACTGGAGCCTTTTTTTTTTTTTTTATCCGATTAACAGATTAATCGAACTTAATAATCGGCCAACTAATCGATTATGAAAATAATCGTTAGCTGCAGCCCTAGATTCTCCAATTCAGCTCACTTTCCAGTTCCGCTATGTTGTCCTAGATTGTTCCCTTCTCCGGCCTTCTCCAAACTCTTCACCCTTTGGTGAATAACCCTGTTAGTGTTTGTGATCGGTGTGAACAGTAAAGCAGGAAGGTCACCAGCACACCAAAGTCCACCTTATCAATCCGTCTTTATTGACCTCAGATAAATATGGTATCACAAGGAAGACACAACATTTCGGAACCGCACAAGGTTCCTTCATCAGGCAAAACAATGTGACATTTCTGTTCCGCCATGACTGTCCGCTGTGTACAAAGCCAGCTCCATAAAGACACGGTGTGACCGGTTTGGTTTGGAGGAACTCAAGCGTCCTGCCCAGCGCCCTGACCATAACCCTACTGAACACCTTTGGGAATGAAGAGAAACATCGATTATGATCCAGGTCTTCCCAACCAACACCAGTACCTGACCTCGCAAGTGGGACAAATTCCAACAGACACCCTCCAAAATCGTGTGGAATGTCTCCCCAGAAGAGTGGAGAATGGTATGGCCGCAAAGAGGGCAACTCCATATTAATGTCCAAGCTCCATAAAAGACATGGTGTGACCAGTTTGGTGAGGAGGAACTCGAGTGTCCTGCACAGAGCCATGACCTCAACCCTTCTGAACACCTTTGGGATGAACTGGAAGGCTGATTATGAGCCAGGTCTTCTCATCCTACATCAGTACCTGACCTCACAAATGGGACAAATTCCCATAAACACCCCCCAAAATCATGTGGAAAGCCTTCGCAGAGGAGTAGAGGCTGTTATAGTTATAAATAATGAATTGGACCGTGAATTCTGAGCCAGGTCTTCTCATTCAACATCAATACCGGAACTCGCAATATGTGCGAATTCCCACAGAATTGTGCAGAGTTTTCCAGAAAAGTAGAGAATGATTTAGCTGCAAAGAGAGCAACTCCTTATTAATGCCCAAGCTCCATAAAGTCATGGTGTGACCAGTTTGGTGTGGAGGAACTTGAGGCCCATGACCATGCTTGACATGGTATCCTGTAGCCCCACTAAGGGAGCACACAGAGACGGCAGGTAGCCAAGGCAGTGGCTAAAGGTTGTCACCCTGAAACAGGAAGTCCATTACACCGCACTGTGACTGTCAGGATCTCAGGGTAAACTTTACACCAGAAGCACCTCAGCAACAGAAAACAATGAGATATATATATATACACAAAATAATTATGTCAGATATTGATTATTTTTGATTTGGGGTTTACATGCACTTTAATGTCATCCTTATATTTACTCAATTTTTAACAAGTTACATTTGAAATGTATATTTTCAGTTGTGCATCTCAGATGATACTGGCACCATGCGTGACACCCAACCAAAAGGTCACGGTGGCCATCTGTGTGTGTGGTCAAACTGGACACCGATCCCGGCTCATGCGTCTCAAGTGACGGAACCCAAATTCTAATAATGGCGCTAACCACATCCAGTTAAAATGCCATTCTTTTGTCTGTTGGGACGGGCCAAATCACTCGGTGTCTTCACAGCCCGGGCCCGATTCGCAACAGTCGCCTAATACATTCCCCACAAAGGTCAGCGTGATATGGTATCCTCTGGTATATTGGGTAACCAGCAACGCGGGCCCGTGGAAAACCTCTCTGTACTTGTTCTATCTTGCGTCATTGGTCTGTTGTTCACACAAAGGCTGTAACCGTGCCACAGACACAGCTGGACAACAACTGGCTCGGCGCAGGCACCGGGCCCAGGCCTCCTACTGCGTGTATCTCCATAGTATGCGAGCTTCCCATTCCATTCGTAAGACTAATACATAAATCCTGACTCTGGAGGTCGGGACGGGGACAAGTTAAAGGGACAGCCCTGGGGCAAGTTCTCCAGTGTGTGCGCCCTTCATGTGACGAGCTGTATTTCCAGGTGTCGGACACCTGCTCTGCCTTGCTGGGGTCATTACCAAACCCTATAAAATGCTGTTTAGTGCGAACTCTGCTCTCACATGAATGGCCACACACACTGCTCGGCTCTCCCGTTTCAATGTGCCAAGCTGTCATAAACTCTCATCTTAGAAATGCAATGCAAAAAATTTTCTAAAATGACACATAATGTCACACGCAAAGTTCCCACATCTTTGTAGAAAACAAAATGCAACCCACCGCTCTCTGTTAGCTGCCATTTGAGGGCAAATTGGGTTTAAAAGTAATAGATGGAAAATGTTGTGCTTGAAGCAGAAGTCTAGGCTACAAAAAATATGTTTCCCATACAAGAGTCCTGTGTATTCTTCTTGAATCTTGGTGAGCTTTGTGTATTTCTTCCAGATCTGTGCAGTAATCCGTATGAGACTTGGAGCTTCCTGTAATAAAGACCGGTCACTGCTGCTCTCTCCTTGTGCAGGGTGACTGGTCTTGTCTCTTCCCCTCCTGTAATAAAGAGCGGTCACTGCTGCTCTCTCTTCTTGTGCAGGGTGACCGGTCTGGTCTCTGCCCCTCCTGCAATAAAGACCGGTCACTGCTTCTCTCTCTCCATGTGCAGGGTGACTGGTCTTGTCTCTGCCCCTCCTGTAATAAAGAGCGGTCACTGCTGCTCTCTCTTCTTGTGCGGGGTGAGTGGTCTTGTCTCCGCCCCCTCCTGTAATAA